AAAAAAAAAAAAAGAAAAGAAAGAAATATAAAGCTAATAAATGTAATATATTTAATGTTACTAGATTTTCTTTAGATACTGCCCTTGCTGTAGATCTCATATTTAGAAATGTAATGTTTTTATTGTTTTTAAAGTTAACCTTTTATAGCCCCTTTTAAAAATCGAGATGTGGTTCAAGTATCAAAATACTGACCATTTGAAAGTAGGTCAAGGCTCCTTAGTGGAGTCCCAGGATTCCACAACCATCACTGCGATTTCATTTCAGGTCATTTGCAATACTCCAGTGTGCCTCTTGATTTTTGTCTTTCACTGAAAGGTTGAAGACACATTTTATGAGGTTCCATAGATATTTCCATTTCTGCTTTGGTTTCCTCTGGCCTGAGCATACGCTTTGTATGATTGTGACTTCTATGGTAGGCGCTTATTTTGTGCTCCACATGGTGGCCTGCAATGGGACCACACATGCCACAAAGGAAGTGTGTTCTGCTGTTGTTTCATCAAGTGTGCATTGGGTGTTAAGTACACAAAAATAGTTGATCCTGTTATGTAGCTCTGTGTTTGTTCTGATTTCTGGGGGAAGGATCAGCTTCTCTAAATTGCTAATAGACAGATGGTGAGATCTCCTGATTTAATTATGGTATTGTCTATTTTTTGTTTAAATCCTGTTAATTTTTGTTACATATTTGGAGTCTTTATTATTAAGTGTATTCACATTTTTGAGGGGGCAGTATTGGGGATTGCACCCAGGACCTTTGCACTGAGCTATGTACTCCTACCTGTGTTTGTTTTTCTTCTATGTATTTGTGGAAACAGGGTCTTGCTATGTTGCCTCGACTGCATAAACTTGGTCATCCTCCCACTTTAGCCCTCCTCGTGGCTAAGATCATGAACATGTGTCCCATGCCAACTTCACACTTAGGAGTCTCTTTTCTGATGAATTTTCTTTTTCATTGTTATAAAGTATCTCCCTTTACCTCTGGTCTTACACTTTACCTCACCTTCTATTTTCCATGATGCTGAAATAGTTTCCCCAGATTTCTTGCACTGTTTGTGATACTTTTTCCTATTTATTTATTTTCTACTTTGTTTTTGTATTGAAAATCATTTATATATGCAATATAGAGTAAGGTCTTTGTTGCTTTTTTTATTCATTCTGTTAAGCGCTGCTTTTTAACAGAAGTTACACCTTCAAATTTTAAGATAGTGATTGATACAGTTGAATTTCAATTCAATATTTTGCTACTTCCTTTCTTTTCATTTTTAGTTTCTCTACCCCTTCTCTCTTCTCTACCTGCCTTTTTCTGTTTTTACACTTTTATTTAGCTGTTTCTTTATTATTTCTCTGTGTTTTTTCACTGGTTGTTCTAAAGATAAAAAAGATGCCTATTTAATCTTTCATATTTTCCTTGAGTTTGTATCATACTTAATATAAAATTTAGAGACTTTGCAACAGTGTAAGGCCTTTTGTCCTCCCTTCTTTATGTTATTGCCATAATGGACCACATCAACGTACATTGAAAACTCTCAAGATAAAGTTTGTTATTGTTTTAAGTCTTCATATGAATTTTAAAGAACATAAGAATAAAATAGCAGTCCTACGTTTTTACCCAGCTAAAAGCCATTTCTTGGCTTACCTTCATTTCTGGAGATCGATTTACCCCTGGGAAAGTTCCTGACAGCCTGAAGCAATTCCTTTAGCATTTCTTGTTGTGCAGTCTACTGCCTATGAATTCTTTTGGTTTTCCTTCACTTGAGAACCACTTTATTTCATCTATTTCCCCAAAGATTATGTGTGTTATATAAGTTAACAATAACCTGAGTTGACATTACTTTATTTATTTTTTATATACTTGTAGAGGAGAGAGGAGAGAGGGGAGAGGGGAGAGGGGAGAGGAGAGATCGTTCAAGGTCTTACCACACAGCTCAGACTCATAGTGAGCTTCCTGTTTTCAGCCTCCCCAGCCCTGAGACTTCAGGTGTGCACTACCACGCCCAGTCTTGGTGGCCTGCTCAGCATGCCCGGGGGTGGGACTGGCATGACATGTGGTGCTGGGGATCAAACCCTGATCCCTGTGCTTGCCTAAGCAGGCGCTTAGTCCGGTGAGCTATCACACCAGCCTGACAGTACTTTAAAGACCATCTGCTGTCTTGTTTTCCTGGAGTTTTGTTGAAAAAACCCACAGTCATTTCAGTTATCATGTGTGCAGATGTCATGCCACATTTATACATGCATGCACTTTCCATGTGTGCAGGTAACCTTCTATGTTCTCTAAATTCTTTTGAAATGTTTTCCTCTGTTTGTCTGCAGTTTTTGTTATGATGTATCGTGAGAGATTTTCTTTGAGTTTGTCTTCTTTTTGGGTAATGATCTTAAATGTGAAGATTTATAACTTTCACCAATTTGGGGATATTTTCAGCCATTATTTCTTCAAAGACTTTTTCTCTCCAAGTCCTCTTCTGAGACCTTTAGCTATTATCTCACAGATCTTTGGTGAGCCTTTTTGTTTCTTTTTGTATTTTCTCTAGAATGAGTATACAGATGTATATCTTCAAGTTCATTAATTCTTCTGATATTTCCAGTCTGATATCAACCCTCTCATTGTATATCTTATTTCAGATACTGGATTTTTATTTTTATTTATTTTTATTTATAGGAAAGATGGCTTTAATCATGCTTGTTACTTGATGCAGAATTTGTAAACAAAAATAAAAAAGATACTGGATTTTTATATTAATGAAGTTTCTATTTAGTTTTTAAACATACTTTCCACGTCTCTGGGGAAGAATTTTACCTTTTGTTTATTTCACATGTGTTTTCCTGTACCTTGTGGAATATGCTTATAAAAGCTTTGTAAAAATTCCTGTAGATAGATCATTCTGGGATTGACTCTTGTTGATTTTCTTTTCCCTTGAGAATTAGACTGTTTTATGGATATGTTTATATGTTGAGAAATTTGAATTTCTTTTCTGGACATGTGAATAAAATGCCTGAAATTAAATCTTGTGCAGAAGGTTTATATTTTTGTTTCAGTGTGCAATCAGCTTTTTAGGGTATGCTCGTAAGCTCTGTCTTGCTTTCTGTAGCTCAAATGCCAGCTTGCTGTGCCGAGCCTTGGCTCTACTGGGTTAGATCTGTTTCCTACAGTAGTGGCTTAGGGCTTAGGCTGAGACTTACGTAAGTTCAAGACAGAATTGGGAGATTTACTGTGTAGACAGCCTTCCCTGGGGGTTCCTTTCACATCATCCTCAGCCTACGAGGGCTCTTTGCCTGGCACCCTTGGTAGAAACACTTTCTACTGAACTTTGAGTTCTCTGGCTTGCACTGAGGCACTCAGTGGCTGGGGTTTTCCTGCTAGACAATGCAGCACGAGGCCACACACGGTGGGTAGATTCTACATGCTGTAAACCCCCTGCACAGGCTGCCTGTTCTTGTTTACTGTGCCAGAACCTCCTGCAAGTGGCTATTCTGTCTTCATTATTCTCTCTCTGAATTTTGTCCAAAGTTCTTAGTTGTGTTTTGTAGGAGTGGTGGGCTATAGGGGGCTTATACTATCAGAGTAGAACTGCAACACCAAGGGTTAAATTTTTTCCGGGCTTGGCCTGGAACTCAGGGCCTCATACAAGTGCTATGTCAATAAGCTTCCCCCCACCCCAGTGCCATTTATTTTAAGTTTTAATCGCTAGTTGGTGAAAGTGAGAGATTTGTTTTTGAGTCCCACCTTTGCTGTTTGTATTCTGCCTTATTTCTTTGTTTGGGGAAAAAACGGATATGAGAACTGCCCTGCGTGTTCGTAGGGTTGCATGGGGCACAATGAAATGTGTTTGCCAAACTGAAAAGTTGCATTTAAGTGGTTGACATTGCCGCTGTGTACGTGCGCATGTACTGTGTGTCTGTGGGCACCTGTGTGTGTGTGTGTGCGTGTGTGTGCGTGTGTGTGTGCTTACGGTACGCGCACAGCTTTGCGTGCTTCCTGCACAGCAGTGACATCATGGCTCCTTCCTCCTCAGGCACTTCCTGGACCTCACTACTACACATGGGGAGACCACGGTGGCGTCATCGTGGCCATCGCCCAGGGCATGGAGACCAATGAGCTGAAGTAAGTGTGTCTGCTCAGCCTTTGTTTTAACGTCAAACTGTTCTTCCAGAGATTCACATCTGTGGGGATAGGTGGTGATCGCTACAGCTACAGGTGGTTGGCAGCAAAATTCGGGATCTATGGAAGTTACAGAAACTCATCTTATTAGAAAATGTGCACAATAGGGCAGGGAGATGGCTCAGTGGAATGAGCGCTTACCCTGCCTAGCGCAAGGGTCTGAGTCCAATCCCCGGTTCCGCAAAAAAAAAAAAAATGTGCACAATAATCTGCCCTTTTTATCTCAGAAGGGTATTGTGAGAAATGTGAAATAATTTTATTAATCTGAAAGAGTATAACTCTGTAAATATAGAGTATTGACAATGATTAAAAATGATAGACTAGAAACTCCTTTATTTGTCTTTCCTTGCTTTGGATAAGTGGCATACTGTACATAGAGATTTCCTCATAGAGTAATAACAAATAACCATAAAAATAATAAGAGAAATAATAATTACAGAAAGCATATAACCTGGTAGCCAGTCAACTTTTGCTATGCTGTCCTTGATGTGGGGGGTTCTCATGTATAGAGCTTGAAGGGACATCGAAGTCAACTGCTTCATTTTACAGATGAAGAAACTGAAGTTGAACAAGGTAAAATGACTTCACCAAGGTCATCGTACTTGTTAGGGACAGAGTCATTATTAACACTTAAATCTTTAGTTAATATACTGTATTCTTTGTGGTATATTGTGCTGAAAAACAAAGACGTAGAGAGTTGGTAACTGGCATTCCTGGAGGTGCTGATTTTATCAGAACCAGTTCTTTGATTGCTTTCTTGAAGTTACTGAACAGTTGATGTTTGTCAGGGAAGGGGGCCCTCATTTCTCTCCATTTTTGAACTGAGCCTTTTAGATGGATTACAGTACTGAGGGAGGCAGAGCAGGCTTCTCTCGTCATCTCATTTAGAGCAAAATAGAACATTTTCTTTTCCTTCCCTTCTTTTAGGATCAGAGCCAGCAGCAAGAGAAGGGTGGGCAGTTTGAAAAAGACATCTTAGCAGCTGGTTTCCTCTCGTGGTTAATTTGCCACGTGCGGAGCAGCCCAGCTTCCAGAAAGCTAGGGGAAGTGAAGCCCTGGCACTTGGCCTCCTACCTGATGGTTCTCTCTTCTGTGAGCACTGGTCAGTTGCTTCTGTAGAGCCGAGAGTTGGAGCACCCTGCATCTGTGTTTGGATTGACGCTTAATCAGATGATGGCTGCCATGGAGCTGACAGTCCCAGAGGGCGGTGCTCCCCACAGTCATGCTGGTGTGTGTGTGTATCTGTTAATATCATTCACATCTCACACATTTAGCCAGCGCTGCTTATGGAAGGCACTGGCATCTAAAGAGCTCTGGATGTCTCTCTGCCTTAAAGCATTCTCTTCCACCCTCCGTTGTAAAACAGGCAAGGGGATAATTGTGTTTAGTACGCTTCTCTGAGGAGTCATGCAGGGACAGAGTGTGGTTTCCTAGGAATACATTGCATTCTTTATATGACTTTTGGAGTTCAGAGTTAATTCTCAATTTTCTTTGTTTAACTTCTGCACATATTACATTTGCATTCCAAGCTGGCTCCTCTGAAGGAGTTCGTGTGATTCTAGTCCTCTTACACCATCTGTCGGTGCATATGGGCTCCGGGAACGCAGCGTCATTCTACACTAGCTGGAGCAAAACATGACCAGGAAAATAAACCTGCTGCCAGGAAATCATAATGTCCTCCCCAGACATTTCATAATGATTTTGGGGCTGTAGACTTTGGAGATTATGAACCTGGTGGCATCCTTCTATTTGGATGGGTCACCTGGAGGTATCTCTAATGTGTGATTCAAATGATGCATTTACAAATATGACAATATAAACAGGCCTCCTTTGATAGGTACATGTGTGTCCCAACTATTCCCCTGAGCTTGGCCCAAATCTACATAGCCACCTGGCATGTTCTGAGCGTGTTGCTCACAGACGTGTTTTACTTCTCCTCCTGCTGCTCTGACAAGCTGGAGATAATAGTGAAGTTAGTTCATAGTCTGAGACCACAGGGGCAGTTTGCTGTGATGCCCAACCATCAGTGAGGCTGCTTCTGACAAGCACGGTTTGTGCTCTGGTCTAGTGTTTCAGGTTCCTTCTGCCTGTCCTCTCCAACCATGATGATCTCTATCCTTCCAGCCTCATGGCATTTATTGGCTGTCTCATTAATCAGGCATTGATTATATTCTGACCGCTTTAGAGCCACCTTCTCATTCTGCACTTGAATTCTTCAACTCATTAGAAAGGCCTTTGTAGACAAGACTTTCTATTCTCTGCAGGATAGCTGGCACTTAGCAAATATTTGATTGATCAATAAACAGGTCATGCATACTTAGTTTTCCAAGATTGCCTTTATTTTTTTTTCTTTCACTTTTAAAAAAAAAAATCTTTTGCTCTTCTATAAACCTAGCATGGATCTGGGTCTGGTGACATTTGTACAACCCCAAGAGGGATCATTGCTGTTGTGTTTGGTGTACATGACAACCTATGGGCACAGTGGGCGCTCCCTGCATGTATAAAACCTGGTGATACCAAGAGGCTCCAGCGATCATCCAGCCCACCTTCAGATGACAAGGAAATAATGTGATTTGTCAGGTGTTAGTGCCTGTGCTGGAACATGAGCGTATTTCTGTTAGGAGTCCTTTTAGGCCCATTACACAAACATGCGTTAAACATCGACGATGCACCAGATGTTGTGCTAGATGCTGGGGACCCCAAGGTGAGTCCAGCAGCAGGTAGGAGCTGTCTGTACCCACAATGGCTTAGAGAGATTTTCTAGTCAATTAGAGCCAGAGGTGTGGAGGAGGGGCTTGTTTTGATGGGTAACATTCTGGCCTGATACCTATTTTTAGGGAGGAAAGCTGAGTAGAAGAGTGCTAGTCATTCCAGTAAGAGGTCCTAGCTCAGCAGTGGGAATTGCTCACAGAAAGAGTTGGACTTTTTTAACTTTTTTTCATTTGGTTGTTCATTTAAATTACTCATTTCTTTCTCACAGATAACCAAGTCCGCTGTTGTTTGTTGCAGCTTCTGCCTTCATGCGGCACTGAGACTGTTACCTTTGTTTTTATTAATTGCAATTGAGAGCAAGAAGTGGAATGCTTTGTTTTGCAGTTGTGTCTACAGGTCTGATATGAGCCAGTAGGAACCTGTGCTGGGGATTCTCTTGTGTATCCACGTGGCCCATGGTTACCAGGCACCCGCCCAGGGGATAGATTGGAGTGGTTTCATGTATAATCAGCGTCCTTTCGAGAAGAGGCTGTTGTGTTTTTGTGCCCTGACTGAAAAAGATCCAAACACAAGCTTGTCAGCTTGATCATGAGGGATGAGATCAATTTCCTTTTCTTCTTGGCAGTGTGCCTGACGGCATGATGATATTATTGATAGTTGCTAATATTTTGGATTTGCCTGAATGCATCTTTTCTCTGAGGAGATTTCCAGTTTCATAGGGATTCCCTGTGGCCGTCCTGAAAAGCCCCTCAAAGGCTACATGCAACTCAGCAGCTGTCTTTTCTGGATCTGAGTTCTGGAAGTAGCTCCACAGTTCCAGGATGTGAAGGTTCCAGTTAACCTCTTTGCCAGATCCAGCACCCAAAGTTGTGGAGCAGTAATCCAGGATGGTTTCTGAGAAAGCTGTTCTGCTTCATTCTGACCCCATGGCATTTCTCCTCCCCCTGGAGATGTACAGGGACAGAGAATCTCATCACCTTTTGACCTCAGTTTAACAAGTTGAGAGGAACAGTGGAGTGGAAAACTCTCACAGATTTAGGTCACTTAAATATATTTAGCTGTGACATTGCGTGGAGCACAGGGTACAGTGGGAGCCCCAGTGTGTGAAACACTTTCCCTTCACTGGGACAAAATACCCTGCACCAGAAACTTTTAGGAGGAGAGGTTTTTGTTCTGGATAATGGTTTCAGAGGTGTAGTCCATGGCTGGCTGGCTACAAGGCAGGAACAGCATGGCAGAAGGGCCTGGTAGAAGAAATTCATGGTAGCCAAGCAGAGAGACAGGAGGAGCCAGTGACAAGAAGAGACCTGCCCAGGCCATATCCCCAGTGATCTGCCTCTTCTGATCAGACTGAACCTCCTCACACCCCCCTGATGAGTATAGCACCCCCAGTGATCCAGTCACTTTCCAAAAGTCCTGCCTATGAACACAGGGGCGTTCTGGGGAACATTCTGCATCTGAGCCTTAACACCCAGTGCAGACTAAGTGGTGCTGCCTAATGGGTGGGGGAGGATTCCTGAAGGGAAGAACTGCAATTTGAGGATAAAAAATGAGGTTCCGTTATTTCCAGATTAGTGGGAACTTGAGCAGAAGTGGTGGTGCGAGTCATTGCACAGCATAGGGCTCTCTGGAGTAGGGGGATGCAAACTGTGAGTTGGGTGGTGAGCAGTGAGGCTGAAGGCAGGGATCTAGGTAGGTGTGAGGCACTGGGGCCTTCACTGTGCCTTACACGGAGACTAAACTTTACTTTTGAGGTAAGAGGGTCCTTTGAGAGTTTCAAAGGGGAAATGACTTGGTTATAGTTGCATTACCAAAAGATAGCTCTGGCAGAGACTATGGTAATGGATTGAAGAGGGGCAAGGCTGGAAATGGGAGCTGATGCTGGGGCAGGTTTGAGGAATTCCTGTATAGGATATACATCACTGGCCTGGGGCAGAAGGATCGGTGACTGTACCACTCTCACCAAAACAGGAAAGGAGGAGGTGTGCCAGGCCATGGCAGGAAGGCAGCTTAGGACAAGTTGGATCAAAGTGGCTGCCATGTGCTGCAGGGAAGATGTCCAATAACAGTGACCTGGATGTATGATGTCATGTGGGTCAGCCTTCTGTCACCTGTGATAAGAGGATTGCCTCGGTCTTGCTTGAACAATTCTAGTAATGGGGAATTTTAGATGAAAATGTGCTTCTGCTTCCATTTCACTTTGAGACAGGTCATTTATTTGTTCATTCCTTCATTTATGAGTGAAACTTTTCTGATCAGACCGATCCCAAATTTTCTGTACTCCAATTTCTGTTCAGGGGGCTTAAGTCTGCTCCCTGGAGGCAGACAGAAGGTGCTTCATCTTGTCAGAAAGCCTTTCAGACAATTAACTCTATCCTTATCCTTTGGAGTATCTACTACTTCCAGTGAAAATGTCCCCAGTGCCCTTCCTCCTGTGCCCCAGGGTCCTGAATCTCTACCTTCTAGGTTCTGCCACAGGTCTGCCTTATTGATGTCTTAAAATGTCAGTCCCAGACCTGAACCAATAACCCAAAGCATGCAGGAGGCAACCTATGTTATTCTCCGTTGTGACTTGTGTACGAGACCCTGTGTGTTCCCAGCACTCACTTCCTTTTATTCCTAAGAGCTCTCAAAGTGCCTGCTCGAGTCCATTCTCAAAGCCAGCTTTTCTTTAGGTAAATAAAATCAATTTTCCTCCTCTGGACTTTGAGATCTTTGCTCTTCAGGACTGTATTGAGGTTATTAAAAGGAACTCAGATTCAGGCATGATGGTGCAGGCCTGTAATCTCAGGACTTTGGGAGATTGGGGCCAGAAGATTGCAAGTTTGAGCTCAGCTTGGGTGATTTAGCAAGACAATGTCACAAAACACAACATATGAAATGGCTGGGATTGTAGCTCAGTAGGAAGCCCCTAGATTTCATCCTTGATAGTGTACTCCCCCAAGGATTCTAATGGTTGTATCTTTATGCTTTTCTGTTCTCTAGAATTTATTTTGTACTCATTCTCTTTTAACTGTTCTCTTCTTGTCTTTGCCCTTGTCCAGCATGAAGATACTGTTTTTGTATAAAATCAAATAGAAATTATTTTTCCCCTATCATCACCTAGACAATTAGCCATCAGAATAATGGTTATATTCCTTTTTCAATCTTTTATAGGCTTTTTAGTTAACTTTTTATTTAACTAGCACACCATTCCATTGACCCACCAATCTTTAGTAATTTGAAACAGTCCTTGAGAATTCTTGACTCTGATTTATCTGGCTACTCTTCCAGCAGATTCCTAGCTATAAAATTTACAGTTAGAATGAACTGGAAGATCATTGCTGCTCTGTAATTTTTTGTTCTTGGTTATATGACTCTTATTTATTTTTATTTTTGTATTGGGAATCGAACTCAGGACCTTGTGCTTGCCAGGCAGGCACTGTGCCACTGAGCTATATCCCCAGCCAACTATTATCTTGAATATGGTTTTAAAAATTTTTTTGAGGTTGTCAATGATCTTTCTGTGTAGCCACATGATACTGTTATAAGTTAAGTGCCTACCACAGCTATTTCCTTTTAAATATCTGTGGTTAGGTTTTATTATTTTGTACTACTAGTATCTGACCTCCTAGTCTCTTGAGAGTTTTTGCTCATGGGATTTTTATCTGTGTTTTGAACTCAACAGTTTGAATTCTCCATTGCTTAGGAGTATGGCCATGTAGGTAGCTCCTCTTTCTTGCCTGAAGAATACAAAGAAGAATTGGTGTGTTCTCCTTTGAAATTCTTGGCACTTGCATTTTACCTATGCAGATCCTGCTTTACGAATCAGAATTCAGTCCATAGTAGAAGATCCCTTAACCATTGCAGTAGGTAATATCTTTGCCCTTTTTCCAAAATTCTAGAAAAAAAACTTGTTTCCTAAATGAGCAGTTTCTTTTCAGATACAAGGCTGTGCTTGGCTGTGCTTGGCTGTGCACCTGCTGGTTGGTCTCATTAATGAGTTACTGTTAGAGTCCCCTGAGACTTTTTCAAGAAATGAGTTGATTCATTTCCTGAGGTTATCCTTGCTTGAAGGAGCTCTTAAATGGCATTAACTTGGCACTGTACAAAACAGATGAACAACCAACTTTATCACAGAATAGGTGGATAATTCACAGCATGTATGATTAATAAACCAATTTAGCACTGCAGTTTGCTTTGAAAGAGGTCCTAGCTGTGTCTTTAGTTCATCACATTGGTACTAGAAGCTTGAATGAGTTAGTTCATCCAAATTCCAAAATTGACTTAAACTTGCTTTAAGATTCATTTAAACCGAAAAAGCTATCAGCCAGATAAGAACTTGCCCTCTCAGAAGATATGTGGAACAATCACTTAGTCTTCCATTGACATTCACTATGTTGCTCTGCAGCTCCACCACTTGACTTAACCTGTAGGGTTTCTTTTTTTTTCTTTTTCTTTTTTTTAAAAAAGGAGTTATCAGTATAAGAAATATCAGTGAGAGAGAAAGTGTTTGGATTGAGTAAAGCTGTAGAGAGATTCGTGTCAAGTATTGGAGTCCTGAGGAAATAAAACTAAAATCTCAAAAAATGGGTAAGTGAAGGAAAAGGTCTTATACTTAGGAACTAAGAGCCCCATAACCTCCGGCTCTGAAGAGAGCTCTAGCTGGATGGTTTCTTGGGTTGCACATCCCACAGTGACTGAGGGGTAAAGCAAGTATCGGGTGGATTTTCTTGTCTTCCCTCCCTGTTTCTCCTTCTCCCTTCCTTTCTATACAACAGGTAATTTAAAATTAATACAATTACTCAAGAGCTACATTTCCCCCTAGGGCTTGATTTCTGATTCTGATTTAATCTCCCTTGACGTACTTTTCCTTCAAGCTTTGAATTCTTCAGACCACAGAGAAGTTAGAGAGACTGTAAAGGAACAAGGTGTTCTCTTCCCCTAGCGTCACCAACTGTTAATATTTTGCCACTTTGCTTTACTTCCACTATCCATATATTTAGCCATCCTGTCAATCTTTTCATCTTTTTTGAGCCTGAGTCATTTGAAACAAGACAGCAAATTCATGCTCCTTCACCATTTAATATATACCTAAATATGTATCTCCAGTAAGAACATTTTCCTATTTTATCACAGTGCTAGTACCAAACCCAAGAAAATTAAGATGGGCTCTTACTTATAGGCTATACTTGCATTTTCTCCATTATCTCGTTTGCTGTTAATCTATGCATTTAAAAATATTTTCCTGTAATCCAGTGTTTGGTCCATCCAGGTCTGTATGCTGGATTGGTTTGTACATTGTATTTGGTTGTTTACTTCTTTGGTCTCTCTTAATCTGTAACAAGCCCTCTGCGTGTTTTGTTTGCTTGACTTCCATGGCCTTGACTGGTCTGGGAGGATCTATAGCAGTCCTGATGTGGAATATCCATGTTTTGGATTTGTCCACTTGTGTGGAATGGTTAGATGATGCAATATTCTTGACACTTTCACCCAGCACATGACTGGTCTGGCTGGTGGTGATGTCACATTTGGTTGAGATTGTGACTCACATCCACTGTAAAAGTATATTTGCCCTTGAGTAGAGGATGCTGGATCTAGGAGTTTTATCTTCAGGCTGGGTAAACATCCTGGTCCCTAAAAGTTTTAACTAGTTCTTTTAGTATCCAGTCAGGATCCTTTTGTGCTTAGTTATTATAAGAATGAGCTTTGCAAAACAATAATTTCTCTTATGTTGTTTTTACTGTTTACTTGGTAACACCTAATGTAAGAAAAAACTTTTCTCTCTCTCGCTTATCTTTCTTGTAGTATTAGTGGAGATTCATGGTTTATTTCACCCAGTATGTAATTTATCACTACCATTTTCCTAAAAAGTTAAAATTTTCCTAAGTGTGGCCATTTGGAGTCCCGCCATTGGCTCTGTGTCCTTCTGAGGTGGCTACATCAGTCTCTGATGCCTCCCTGCTAGCTGGCACAGCTGTCAGTTGCTCTGCTGCAGCTGGGACCATAACCATACAGCTTCTCTTTCTTGCATCGGACAGATACAGTACCAACGAAGGGGAGACCTGGAAGACATTCATCTTCTCTGAGAAGCCCGTGTTTGTGTATGGGCTCCTCACAGAACCTGGGGAGAAGAGCACCGTCTTCACTATTTTTGGGTCCAACAAGGAAAATGTCCACAGCTGGCTCATCCTGCAGGTCAATGCCACTGATTCCTTGGGTAAGGCACCGCCCCTTTGTCCCTTTTCCACAGATACTGACTTACTTCCTGGTACATCTACAGGAGAGTTTGTGATTCTTTGGAAGAGGTGGTAACATACAAGTTAGTAAAAACACACAGTAGCAAGTGAAGGTCTACCCATTACTATTATAAGGGTGTGTGTTATTCTTTGCATTTTGATCTCCTTGTCTAGTCCCTGGCACACAGTAGGTCTAAATCTATGGCTGACATGTATGTGGATGATTACATGCATGACTGAATAAACTAAGGAATAAAAAACACTTTTCCAAATCAGCACTTCCAAGAGGACATATTCAGTGTATATGTCTTTGTTAGTTAGATTCCTGTCAATTTAACAAAATACTTGAGAAGATCAATTTAAAAGGAGAAAAGATTAATTTTGGCTGTGACTTCAGTCCACACAAAGTGTAGCACGTAATGCTAGGAGCTGTGGTGGAGGGAACCTGCTCACATCACGACTGCTTGGAGTCAAAAAGAGAAGACGGTCAGGGCCCCACTAGGGTCCCCCAGTGCCTGGACTTCCTCCCACTGCACCTCACCTCCACTTCCTCCCAGTAGCAGCATAGATACTTCTATTCTGGCCCTTCAGGGAATATGGCAGGTCAAACTACAGCAAGGACTTATTATCTATAAGATGCTGGGCCCAGTGATCCACAGTTCTGTCAAATCTCTCTGGAGTCCAATCACAACTTGCTAGTCTAGACATAGACATGTGAGAAACCAGGAAGGAGTGAAATGCTTCATGTACCCTCTGTGCCTCCCCATATGTTCCTGCTCTTTGCCCACTAGTCTGCCCAGGCCAACATTTTTCCAGCTGCCTAGAACTTCACCTAAGCCTTTTTGCCTCCAGTCATCTTGGCCCCATTACTTGAAATCCTTTTTACATTTCCAGATTCAACACAACCAGAAGATATCTGTCTTTCTCTATGCCCAGAAATAAGCATGCTCATTACTCCTTGAGTTATAATTCATGTCTGTTACTCTGTGTGTGTGTCATCTTCCCTCAACCAGATTATAAGACCCCTAAAAACAAGAATAAGTCCTGTGAAAACTTGTAGTCTACATGCTGAGTAGCCTGATTGTCTCACATCAGGGTTTAATGTCTTTGCTGATTTAAAAGGCATTGAACTGATGGTTCTGCATCACCTTCAAGTGGTGTTTAGTCTCACTGAAGACACAGCTAAGAGACACAGGTGCTAATATGGACACGGGTGTCTCTGGAATTCCCATTGAAAGTGCTCTACTGACAATTGAAATTAATGTGGGCTGGTGGTGTGTGTGTGTAAGCTGTCCTGCTAGTTCTCTTCCTCTTCCCATGAAGATCCTGCACCTTCCAAAGGGCAAGTGACGTCTCCACTGTGCTCAGCTGTCCCACCAGAAGTGTCCAGACTACTGAGGAAACAGACAGGGAACAGTTGCCCTGCATGATATCACCTCTTAAGGATTTACTTGTCCCATCTTCCCTAGGAAAGAAATACCCGTGCTCACATAACGGAAACTACTGACTCTCCAAATAACTCAGAAGTTTGGATGGTGCTAAAAAAAAAAATGTCTTGTTTCTTCCTTTCTAAGAAGAACCTTTGTGTCTCACGTGGCATCGTTTTTGTTCTCTTAGGTGCTGCCAGCTTCAACTCGCATCAGCTAGAGCATGGGACAGCTCCTGAGTTCCATGCGCTTTCTGGGTGGCAGTGGTGTGCATAGGAGGTGGTGTGCTAGGCTAATGGGGCAGGTGAGACAGGAAACCCTTCATGGGCCTGATTCTGATGCTTTGCATTATCTTGGTTTGTCTTCAGGGGTTCCCTGCACAGAGAATGACTACAAGCTCTGGTCCCCTTCTGATGAGCGGGGCAATGAGTGTTTGCTGGGACACAAGACTGTTTTCAAACGGAGGACCCCTCATGCAACGTGCTTTAATGGAGAAGACTTTGATAGGCCGGTGGTCGTGTCTAATTGCTCCTGCACCCGAGAGGACTATGAGTGGTTGGTTCTTCTGCTGCTGGGCCTTCAAGTCCCTTTACATTTGTTTAACAGGGTGGGGGAGACAGAAATGTGCCCGGCCCCTTCCTGTTAAAGGGAAAGAAACAGAAGGAAATAAGCATTTCAAAAGTTCCTTTTCTGTGCTAAGAACTGTGCTAGATGCTTTTCCAGAAGTTGCCCAGTAGCTCTTACAACGCTATGATCCAGTTGGGGGTGCTGTGACCTGGGGAAGTTGCAGTCATTTATTCAGAGATCCAAGCTCTGCAATTTACTTCTAGAAAGGTGATCTGAAAAAGCAGAGCTTTGAAGGTTCCATTGTAGGTAACTGATTTTCCCACTGGACCCATATCCTAGAATGACATTGCTTTCTCTGAAATGAGGGGTGATTGTGTTTGTGTGTGGGTGGGTGGGTGGTGTATACATACTGTTTTTCATAACTTAATGGTTTTTTTTTTAAAGTTGTGTGTCAGTGGTTTTTTGCTTTTTTTTTTTTTTTTTTGGGATTGAACTCAGGCCCTTGCGCTTGCCAGGGAAGCACTTATTCTACTGAGCCATCTCCCGGGCCCCATAACTTAATGTTTTAGCAGAATATCCAAGGCACTGTTGGAAGTATTAAGGATAGAAGTGACTTGTGTCTAAATAACTGAGGCAGGAGGAGGCAGGTACATTATAGGAAGAACAGGGGCTCTTATTGAGATTAAAGAAGAAGGTGAAGGCTATAAGTTGCAGTTGGGCAATCAGGGAATTTTTAGGAAGTGTTGTTTGAGATGAACTTTACAGAAGCCTCAGGATATGTGAACAGGCACCCTAAGACCATGTGGAGGCAGGAGGACATTAGCACCTTGGTTTGGAGGGAGCAAGGAATGCTGAGTGGAGATGAGGGTGGAAAGAATAGGTACAGGGGATCACATTATACAGAACACACAAGCCGGTTTACCCTGTATCTGACTAGACTTCTCACATAAGCAATGTTTAGTACATAGTCTAGAATTGGATCAAGTAAATGAAGTTTTTCAGGTGAAGCACACAGATGTGGAAAATCCCTTTGAATTATGACTTGACAACTTGGATGGGGCCTTGGGAAGTATGTAGTACAGCTGCCTGGCTTCCAGGTTGCTCCATGTGGCCCAGAGAGATCATGCAGTCAGAGGCCGAGCCAAGATTCATCCAAGACCTTGTGCTTCCTACTGCCAGAACTGCAAGCTTTGAGTCATGGGACGCCGCACATGACGGGAAGCCTTGTGAACTAAACTTCTGTGTCCCAAAGTACAGGATGAGGACTCTTAGGGGACATAGATAGTATATAAACAGGTCTGAAGTGATACTGAATCTTTAGTCAAAATAACTTTTATAAAAAGTTCTTTTTAAATTTCTCTGGCAAGTCTCCTGATTATGTCAAGGAGAAAGTCTCATTGGAGCTAGTAATTACTTAATGTTTGCCAGTGTTTTAACCAAGAGAGGGTTGACCAAGAGTCTAGGCAGGGAGCTGGGGCTGGGGCTGTTATTCTTTTTATGGTGTGATGATTTATTTATATGTGTCTGTGACTTATACTAGTGGCTGTACAAGGGAGGTGCTGATCAAAATGTTCTTCCACAGATTTTTTTTTTTTGTCTAGAAAAGTGAGCATGTTTTTAAAAGAGCATGCTAAATAAGTTATAATACAAGTGATAAGTAATAGGGTGAAAGTTTCAGAGTTGCTCCTGAAGTGCCTGAAATGCTCAGTGCACTGGCTTGAATGAACCCACATTCCTTTCCAGTGACTTTGGCTTCAAGATGAGTGAAGATTTGTCCTTGGAAGTGTGTGTTCCAGACCCGGAATTTTCTGGGAAGCCATATTCCCCTCCTGTGCCTTGCCCCGTGGGTTCTACTTACAGGAGAACGAGAGGGTATGTATTCTACCTTTGTTGAGGCTATTCCTAAGAGGAGGGCATCCAGGACCTCCGGACTCCTCTCATACTCCAAGCGCTAGAGTCGCACAACAGCAGGTTGTAAGGAGCTGGGCAACAGTTAAAACTATGGAGGCTGCAAGCTCTTCTGTTTCTCATGGGGAACAAGTACATGTGGGAGTCTGTGAACACCTCTGAAACACCCAGCATGTCTTACGTCATACAGCTCCATGGGGAAAAGTCTTCTGATGAGTCTAGAGAAAGACTGGAAAGTGTGGCCTGGATGCTCAATTGTCCGGACCTGTATGTGTAATTAGGAGCAGGACTGACTCAGCATAATCCAACACCTTGCTCCTAGTTCTATAAGGAAAGGGGTTCTCGTAAGCTCTTACTCCTGGTGATGCTATGTTCCCAACTGTGGTATCTCTGTGGCTTTTCTTTGATGTTTCTGATCTCTTGCTTTGGGGGTGGGTAACAGATACCGGAAGATTTCTGGGGATACTTGCAGTGGAGGAGATGTCGAGGCACGACTGGAAGGTGAACTGGTTCCTTGTCCACTGGCAGGTAAGAGCTGGCTTCTTCGCTTGGCACCCTGGGACATCCCAGAGGCATTACCATGAAGCGCAACTCTCCCAAGTCAGGCTGTAGCTCTCCTCGTTTAGTGGAGGAATAAAAGCAACAATGATAATTACAAATGTCACAGAATTCTCTTTTCCCCTTAAGCTTAGTATCCAAGCTAAATTCATATTCATCTCATACCTTCAAGGCAATGTGAAATATCTTACGTTGGCTCAATATTTTGAGGGAAATCCCTGTGTTTATTGAAAAATATTTATTTTGTGCCTGTTGTGTGTTCGCCATTGGAGGCTGAGGAGAGCCCTCAGACGTTTGTTAATCTGTTTGTCAAAGTTGACTATAAAGAGACTGGTGATTTGCTAAGAAATAAATAAGTGGTCTGTCTTAATTTCATAGCTATAATTATTATAACTTACATTTTAATGGAATTTCATAGATTTTGGTATGCTTTTCAACGTGCTACCAATTTAATCCTCTTAGCCCCATGAGGCAGGCACTGTCAGGTATACGTGTATATATGTGTTTATAAGCATATTAAGAGGAAAGGGCAAAACAACTTACAGAAGGTCACACATTTCTTAAGTGATAGAATTAAAATTCATACTCTTAAGGCCCCTCATTGGACATCACCCAAATGGCAAATAAATGTCTCTCATATTACTTTTTTCCCCCTGTATTTTAGGGAAGGGTCTACAAGGTTGTTCAGGGTCTTACTACTAGATTGGATTTGTAGTGATCTGCCTGTTTACAGCCTCCCAACTGCTGGGATTACAGGCATGTACCACCACGCCAAGTCTCAGTCATTGTCTGAGTGTGCCCCAGGGATGTGGCTGGCATGGCAGGCCTGGGGATTGAACCCCAGCACCTGCACCTGCTTGCAGGTGCTTTAAGCTATGTGACCAGCCCTCTAATATGTTTCTACTTATTGAGAAAAGCTTCTTTGGTGTGACTACACATGCTGTAAAGGTATTGTATAATTCAGAACACATTTTAAAATTGGTGTAAAAAAATGAAATTGGTGTAACGTGGGGGTTATAATACACATGACATTATGATACTTTAAAAAAGAGTTAATCTCTTTGCATCTTTTCTTTGTTCACTGCCTTTATAGTTGTCTAGGTTACTTTTCTCTCTTTGCTGGGACAAAATACCCAACACCCAGTAAGTTTCTTTAGCTCACGATTAGTGGAGGTTTCAGTCCATACTCAGCTGGCTCCAAGGCAGAGACACATGGCACAGAACAGTTGGAAAAACAGCAAGAGCAAAGGGAGCAGCAGCAGCTCAGGCAGCTAGCAAGCCTCTCTCCCCTCCTCATATTGTAATGCAGATGACCTGCCCCAGGGCAGGTAATAATCACAAACTCCAGAAGCCGCCCCATGACTGCATGAGGCTTTGCGGGGACACCTGGACACAAACCATAACACATCCTTACTCACGTAGAGCTTCCTTTTTCCTCTTGGGGAGGGGAAGAAGGTGGTCAGTGCCGACTTGGTCAGCAGGGATGGTATCCTACAGAACCACCATGAGTGCCGGCTGCATGCTGAGAGCAGTGGAGTCTTTGCAGACAGGCTGGGCAGCCTCTCCTTGGCTCGCGTTTGCCAGCTTGCCCTGGTGTTTTTCATACTAAGCTCATTAGTCCCTTAATTTAATCTTCCATCATTACCATAGTAATTAACATACCTCACTGTGGAGACTAAAAAGAAACACTGCTTCAGCAGATTCCTACAAATGAGCAGATAACATTACACATTCCCCTCACAAGAGCTGTTGCTGATGAGGGTTGCGTGAGTGGGGTTGGAGTGATTGCTCTTAAGGGGCTGAAGTACATACTTTTGTAATAAATATTTCCGAAGATAATTCATCGAGGGACAAAACAGTTTGTTTAAAGCCATCAAAAGTGGCAGGAAAGCTATTTTCTCTTTTGATAGGAGAAGACAGAACAGGGAATGAGGTAGAAAAGTATCATTTCAGTATAGGCCACCTCCTAAATATCACGAAAAAAAGAAACTAAAAGGCAGGAAAGTGGCCAGAAAAAAATAACGATGGTTTTACAGGACTAATGGGAACCATAACATTTTTGTGAAGATGAAGTAATCGGGGCATCTGGAAGGATTTTTAAAATGTAATTTTTCTTCTGTCATGATTGCAGTAATAATGCATATTTCCCTCAGCTAAGAATTTGGTTCCTCTCTGAGGTTAGGCCTCACTCAAGACTGCGCTGCATGCTGCTCTTTAGCTAGGCTGGAAGCCGGCCTTCCTGGACCCAGGCTGTCCTACAGGGGCTCCAGGTTCTTAGAAGAAACAAAGTAGCACGGAGGTTTTGAAAAAAGACCGCTGCCAAGTTGTGGCCTTCACTGTGTACTTGAGTGTCCATTGTCACCCTGCCTAGAAATTTCACTGACCACAGAATGAGACATTGTGTTATCATGTGGTGGTAGCTTAGGAACTTTTAAATTGAAGGAGACCAGAGGAAATAAAGACAACTTTACCATCTTAAACATTTCAGGTGGCTTTATTTTTTGACTAATAAAGGAGCAGTGAATGCTTCATTGTTTTCCCCTCTTCTTTTAAGTTTTGCTTTTGTCCAGTTTTGCATGCTTATATCTTTTAATCTGAACAATGAATTTGAAGCCAACAATATAACAGCCATTGTTGAAGTCTTATCATTTTGTTTAGTTATAGTCTGCATTGTTTCTAGTGGTTTTTTTTTTAATTACTGTTTTTATTCTCTTCAAAAAATAATTTGAAAAAAGCCATGTCCCATGGCTAGGACATGGGAACCCACTGAGTGGATGTGGTGGCTGAGGCAGGGGCGGGTGGAAGGGACTAACGCAGCTGTGGAGACGGAGGGATTCGGATCGCATCTTGGTACCATATGCAGCCTACTGGCAAATGCTTTAAAAATTATTTTTTTATTTTAAAAGTCATTTACTTCTGGTCTCTCCAGGGAAATGACGCACTTAGCAATATTTGGATGGGGACACAAATTCAATAAATAGCAACTAAATATTATCTTCAGTTTTACCCTATGCCTGTTGTAGTTCCAGCTTCTTCTTGCCCTCTTTTCTCCAAATCCTCTCTTTGGACGGCACTGTGGCAGTTCCTCTGGGTTTTGCCTCTGTGGTTTGGCCTCTCCAGCTTCTCTGAGTTGGATCCTCATGTCCTCATTTATAATAAATAATCTTGCAAAGGATGCAGATGAACATCCAGATGGAAGAGACGCATAGGATGAATTGTCAAGAGGTAGCAGGGGTGCAGGTTCCATGCCCTTCCTGGGTGCTTTGTCTTCCAGAGACTTCTTTGGGATTGGTGCTCAGAAGTTCTCATGTGAATGTCGTAGGCAGGGCCTCCGTGTTCTGCTCATCTCTACCCTGTGGAAGAATCTGGATGTCTTCCATGGCACTTCTTATGTGGAAAGGAGAAGGCACTAGGGCCTCTGTTACTGTTGCACATGAAGTCATCTTCTTAAGTACCCTGGGCCTCCCTTTCTGCACCCTAAAAATGGCAGGCCCAAGATAGAGCTCAGGGGTTGAGCATTTACATGTGCGTAGCATCTGTAGGACCCTGGCTTTGAGCCTCAGCACCACAAAGTGAAACACACAAACAAAAAACACAGATATAGATGTGGTTACTATCTATACCACACTATCTATACCAGAGTGTGATGGTTAAATACAGTCTCAGGATCCAGACTGCCTGAGTTCAGGTCTTGGTTCTATTACTTATCAACTGTGTGACCTTGTGTGAGTTATGTTACCCTTCTGGCCTCAGTTTTCTTGTGCGTAAAATTGGGTTTGTACCAATAGTATTCTATCGTAGTTTGTTATGAGAATTAAACAGTGCTTGTTTGTACATCATGGAAGTATTTATTAAGCAGAAACAGAATCTCTGTGATGATTCTGGGCTGAAATATCCATGTTACATGTTAGCAAATACTCCAGAAGTGATGTGTTACAGCTTTGAAAAAAAAAATGGGGCTGGGGAGATGGATCAGTGGAATAAGCCTTCCCTGGCAAGTGCAAGGGCCTGAGTTCAATCCCTGGTTCTGAAAAAAAAAAAAAAAATCAAACAAGTTGATCTAATGACTTCATGTCATTGTGAACAATATAGATAAGTAATCATATTTGTTAGGAAACTTGATTATAAGTCTTCAGTGACTGCTGGTTTGTGGTCAACAAGATTATGGTGTATATCACTGTAACATATCCATGAGATAATCAGCTTATAAAAGGAGAAGGCCCATGTTTTTGGACACTAGCCCCATCCTTCCCTGGCACTTTGCATTGCACTGTGGTGAGATAGCCTGTGATGGTGGGAAATGCGTGGTACAGCACCAAAACCAGAGGTGGCCAAGAAGCTAAGGAGTGGAAGAGGACCTGCTGGGGACCCACTGTCTCCTGCAGTGGCATAGCCCCATTGATCTAAATCCTCCCAGTGGGCTCCTCCTCTTAAGGTTCCTACTACTTCCTCAGGGAGCCAACGTGGGGACAAAGGCTTTAAGGTCAGGCCTTTGGGGGACATTCCTGATGAAAACTATACTATAGTGCTGGGGTTAGTGTCACAGTGAGGGGACACATGGGGAGTGATCTTGTTTATGTGGATGACTGTGACTCTAAAGACTTTGTTCTGGGCTCAGAAATGTGAATGCTGATGACCCAGAAGGATCACAAGTTTGTGCCTAGCCTGGGCCACTTGGCCTGATAGCGTAACCCTGTCTCAAAATGCAGAAAGGGGCTAGAGATACAGCTCAGTGCAAAGGCACTAAGTTTCATCTCCAGTGCCAGAAAAAAAAGTAATAAAATAGTTGCAGATGTAGAAACAGATTCAGTGGAATTGAAGTAACTTGCCCAAGGCAAAACAGCAGCAATTTTGTTTCACGCCTTCTGAGTCTATATTGCTCTTGTACTCTATTCAGACCATGTGACAATGGGGTTGAGGCTGGTATGTAAGAAA